TAGAAAACACAGCAGAATGCGGGAATCTCAGCAATGCATCCATTCCATCAGCAGAACTTCAGAAATCAGCAGTGTTCTCAGTCTGTGTTATGACGGGTCATTACATAGATTGAAAAACGAGGCGGGGGACCTCACTGGCTAAGGTTGGCAAGCAACTGTTGTATGCGGTACTACTTTTTTGTTCTTTCTTGATTGCATTGAAAAGGGGGTTTGAAGTTTGAACATGGAAAAGGGGTTTGTCGTAAAGCATCGTCTTTGCTTCAGCTGTTTCATTGATTTTCCGAAATCAGGGTTGGCCTCAGTGGCAAGCAGATCTGATGTACGTATGCTAATAATGATGATGATGATGATGCCTGTTGTTGTGATGCGATTTGATGCGATGTCACACTTTGGCATTGCGCACAATTCAGCTGTTCGAGCTCGGAGACGTCGTCCTTGTAGATGAGAAAATGGACGTGGGCGCAAAGAACTGCAGACGGCTTGTTGCTCTTTACTCGAATTTGAATTCTGGATTTGAGGTGCGGCTTTAACCCTCTCCACCACGCTGGTTGGTGGCTGTCAATTGTTCTGTTGTACGTCCTCTCTCTCTCTCTCTCTCTCTCTCAGCACGCGGGGACTGGATAAACCCCAGGGCATGTTTCGTGTTTTTTGTCGAACGGCTTGAAAACATGTTCTCACGAATGGGAATAAAGTGCCTGTGAACATGTTCATCTGTGTGTGGAGTCGGTGTGTAGAGGGGTTGGCGGGGGCTTAGGAGGCCAATGGGGTGGCGGGGGGGGGGGGGGGGGGGGGGGGGGGGGGGGAGAGAGAGAGAGGGAGAGGGGGAGAGAGAGAGAGAGAGAGAGAGAGAGAGAGAGAGAGAGAGAGAGAGAGAGAGAGAGAGAGAGAGAGAGACCTTCATTATCGAAAAGTTCATTCTGTTGGCATGTGCGCAATAGAGAGAAAGAGCATGGCACTGGTGCCGGTGAGGTGTAAACATAATTAGTACAATCATACAACGTTCAAATTTCTTCTCCATCTTGTGAAGACCCTGGGCACCTCATATTTTGATCCTCTGACCCCAGGTTGACCACCTAGGCCTACCAAAGTCACCGGGTTGGGCTTGGCTGTTGATTTTCCGAGGGCCTTCTTTGACTTCTCGAAACGCTGGACACCCCAATTTGACCCTTGACCCCAGGGCTTCCAATTTGACCCTTGACCCCAGGCCTACCAATTTGACCCTTGACCCCACCCCAATTTGACCCTTGACCCCAGGGCTTCCAATTTGGCCCTTGACCCCAGGCCTACCAATTTAACCCTTGACCCCAGGCTTGCCAATCTAACCCTTGACCGCCTACTGACCTGAGGACTCTCGAGAGACCTACCCGAGACTATTGGGCCGGCTTTTGAACCCTACGCATTTTTCAGAGAGTGTAGACTTCTGATTTGCAATCGTTGTGTGTGTCTGTATGCCCCTTGTAAAAAATATCTTGCCTTTCTGGCGTCAGCAAAAGATTGAGAGTTAAAAAACAAAAGAAACAAAAAAAAAAGGGTTTGCAAGCTATTTGTTGGCATATATATATCTTTGCTAAGTTCTGCGGACTTGTAGTTTGCGGATGAAGACATCCCCTGCCAGCCAGCTGTTGTTGGCTCAACGAAGCCTTCATTCCATCTTCTCTCTTCCCTATACTGTTAAGATTTATCGGCTACGGGCTCTGACACACCGCGTCGTGGCCAATCAGGGCCGTCCGATCGTAGATCTGGTCCAAGATCGGACGGTTAAGATTTGTTCTGAAACGTTTTCTGTGTATGAAGACATCCCCTGCCCTTCCAGCAGTTGTCGTCTCAAGCGACGCCTTCATTCCATTTTTGTTGTTAATAGTACTTAATTAATACGTATCATGCTCCATTTTGAGAACTTTTGATGACAGAAATGGCTTGCACAAGTTATTTGTTGGCATATATCTTTGCTACGTTCTGCGCACTCATATTCTGTAGATGAAGACATCCCCTGCCACAGTCAGCAGTCGTCGTCTCAATGAAGCATTGATTCTATGTGTTGTTAATACTTCAAAAAGTTATCATGCTGTGTTCTGTGAACTTGCAATGTTCTAATCCTGAACGAACGGGCTGTCTGTCTGTTTGCGGCGGCAGGTCATTCACGGGTTGCTGGATCAGGTGATGGTCGTGATGGGAGTGCCGAAGGCTGACCACGAGCCTGGAGCAAATGGCAATTGCCCAGGGCATGAGAGGGACGGATACGCAATTGCCCCATCTCAGGTGAAGAGAGCAGCACGTATTCTCATCAGTAGTTTTTTTTCTGCTCTCAATGTTTTTTACAACAACGAAGGGAATTAAAAAAAAAGAAGAATAAAAAAACCTCCTTCAGAGAAAAGAAGTAGAACAAACAAACCTCCTTATTACCAACCAACCCCCTTCCCCCATATGTCCGCAGTACAATCATACGGTGTTCAAATTTCTTCTCCCTCTTGTGTGTGCTCAAGGTGTCGAGCAGTGAGGCTCACTGCATAAACCTCACTTCACTGGATAACGGGTTTGGGAGGACATGCCCATTCAAGGCATCATAAACATTCCTTCTCTGTCTTTGCAGGTCTTTTTCTTCTTCATCCTCTTTTTTTCTCTTTTTTTTTTTTGAAAAAAACGCTCCCTGCAGTGCTAGTGGCGCATCCTCTTGCCTATATCTCTCTCCTTTTTCTTTTTCACATCTATATGAAATGGAGCAACCTGGCAATCCGCTAGAAGGGGGTCCTCTTATCACCCCCCTCCTAGCGCTAGAGCCGGTTTCTAAAAAAAAAAGTAAAAGTAAAATAAAATAAATAAATAGAAAATCGGCAGCCACTTCCCTTCCCTGTACTCTCTCCCACTGGTTCAGACCCCTCTGTGCCCTGGGACAGAGTTTCTTTCCTTTTATGGCGTTTCAGGCCCGGACGGGCCCGTACCTGTTGCGATTCGTAGATATGCAGGAAGTGATTCACCGTCTGGAAGCTTCAGGTTTTTGTGACACCCCACCCCAGTCCATCTTGACATGGAACTAGCGGTCGAGGATCAACAATAGACCTGAGAAAAAGAAGGAAAGGAAGAAGGATCTTATGTGAGACTTGAGTATTGTGCTCTAGGGTGTCGGGCAGTGCCTGTGGAGTTCACTTATTGCCAGTCCTGCTCAGCATAAGTGCTTTGTTGTGTTCTTCTTCACACCTTTGTGGTTCATCCAGGATCCAACTTTTTTCTGTGGTCGACAAGCGCACGTCATCTGGAGAGGGCGGCGCGTCGGACTTTTCGGGATAGTTCACCCAGAGGTATGCCTTTGGTATCATGTTTGCATTTGAAACAAAAAAAAAAAAGAACATGTTAAACTTTGTATATTGTCCAAAAAAAAAAAAACAAAAAAACTTTGTATTGTTCATAATAGCAGTGCTTTCTCTTCACGGCGCCCATCTAAACCTGGGCGAGGGTCATTTTTTGCAGTAGTGCTTTTGTGGATAAATGGGTGCCGGATGTATCCTTTCGCCTTGACCATCACAGTACTGTAATGGGTCGTGCGGATGCCTTCGCCGCAGCACATTTTCTCCGCCGTGCGCTTCCGAACCTTGGTCAGAGGTCTTTTTTGCAGTAGTGCTTCTGCTGCGGATAAGTGTGCTGCATGTATTGGGGAAATTATGGGTGCACTTGCGTTGTCCACGTGTTTGGGAAATCCTGGGCTTGTATGTTTTTCTTCCCCATCTGTGTACTACCATCTTCCCCCGAACATACACTCATATGCGTTGCAAACGAATGCAACACACAGGTTTGCTTTCTATTCAAATACAACGCGCCTGCATTCTCTTCGAACATCCCCTGTTTTCGAATACAACGCATGCGTGTTCTGTTGGAATTTTTGATTTTTCCGAAATGATCTCGAATACAACTCATATGCGTTGCATTCGGGGGAAGACAGCAGTTGTGTTGAGTGTAGCGCGTACGGCAGGTCGAATTCGAACCGGAACAGTCACATGAGCGAAACATTGTGTGAGATACTGGAAGAGGTTGCCATTGACATGTGCCGAATCAGAGGTAGTGGTTGCAAAGAATCCACAGTGGAAGGACCTGAAACTTCGAAAGCACATACGGACCAGAGGAGGAATGCATGACACACGATTGACTAAAACCAGGGAGGGAAGCATCGAGAGAAGAGTGGGTCACCGCTCTGTCAAACATGGACGAAGGGGATGGGGGGAGAGGAGAAGAGGAGGAAGAAAAAGTAAGGGGGGAGGAAGAACTTGAGATATGACACTGTCAGCAAAATAATCTCTCCCTCCTCATCACCAACTCCATTGTCAATATGAGTGTGTTGGAGTCTGCTCAGGAGAGTTGATGTCCTCTAAAAGCAAGGGGATCCTGTAACTAAGTCTCATTCTCGCCAACCGAAGAAGAAGAAGAAGAAGAAGAAGAAGAAGAAGAAGAAGAAGAAGAAGGAGGAGGAGGAGGAGGAGGAGGAAGGAGGAGGAGGAGGAAGAGGAGGAGGAGGAAGAGGAGGAGGAAGGAGGAGGAGGAGGAAGAGGAGGAGGAGGAGGAGAAGAAGAAGAACGAGGAAGAAGAAGAAGAAGCAGAAGCAGAAGAAAGAGGAAGAAGAAGAAAGAGGAGGAAGAAGAAGAACCCAACCAGAGCGAGGTAATGCAGCAGCTGGAAAGCTTGGGATGTGCAGGCACAAAGACAAACGACAAACCAGTTGGTCGAGTGACACGCAGGCAGACAATTCGACGAGCAGGTGGGCGGGCATGAAGGCATCTCAGCAACGCATCTACAAGCAGACAAGTGGGCATACTGACATAGGGGCAAGGATGCAAAAGGGCAGGCAAGCGACAAAGCGGTAGGCCAAGTGACACCATGGCGCACAGTTCAGCAAGCAGGCGGGCAGGCAGGGAGGCATGCAGCAAGGCAAGTAAACAAGCAGCCTCAAGCAAGCAAGTGGGCAGATGCACAGTGTGCCAAGGAGGCAGAAGGGCAGGCAAGGAGGCAGAAGGGAAGGCAAGGCAGCAAGACAATGCAAGATAAGCAGGCAGGGCGCCAAGCGGTGGGAAAGTCTGGACATACAGCTTACCCCACGAGTATAGCTGTGTGGGATATAGGCTCGTACCACCATCCGCAGTCAGAGATCCACGTCGAGGAAATTCTAGCATCGGAAAGCAGATACAAAGGCATCGTGAACACTGGACGCCTGTGAGAAAATGTTGCAGGTACTCCGAAAGAATAGGCAGGGACTATTTGGCACATCTTGAAGGTGCTGGACTTGGACACCACGGAACGCAGGATAAGTAACACAGCAAACACACATAGGATCGCACTAAGAACACATTTAGGAGGAAGAAGAAGAAAACAAGTCACAAGTTGAATCACAGCCGAAACAGCACGGTATAACCGAGTGCTGTTGGCGGCTTTGTGTGCGTGTGGTGGTGGTGGTGTGGAGGGGGGGAGGTGAAGGAGGGGAGGTGTTTTGTATTTTTTGTTGGAATTGACGATTGCTTTGGTCGGTTCGTTGCTTGGTTTTTGTTTTCTATGGTCAGGTGTTGGCACGCTTTGAAATACCAAACCCTTGCTCGGCTTTGGAAATCGACATTGAGCCATTCCTGTAGCTGTTTTCATCATCGGCAGAACGTGAGTGGATATGATGATTTGAGAGGATTGACTTTGTAAGCGACGATCTTGGTGTGCGAGTGCCTCTGCATCAGTACTGTCGGCAACTGCCATGCTTTTCCGACAAGCAAAAGGGCAACGGAAGGAATCATCGCAGTTTGCAGGGTTGACACACAAAAGGGCGACGGCGGTGACAGCGATCAGGTTGCGTTATGGTGGGTTTGAAGCTACGTCTCGTCCTTTCTGCATCCAAGCCAGTGGGAGAGCCGGCACGTGCTGAAGTCATAAAGGGGAATGGAGATCTTTGAGAGCGCCGCTGACGAGCGAAATTAACACAGCGACAACGGCATTGCACTCATCGTCCCATGGGATGAAGTTCCACAGGAAGGGAACATGGGGGGAGAATTGTCGTCTCTCCATTTTGTTGGGGACGATCAACTGTATCCTTTGCTGTCGCGGGAAGGAAGCGAACAGAAGTTTTGCTAGTTCGGGCGTTGTTCGGGGGGTGAACTTAATTGTTGTTGTTTTCAGTTGGGAGTCGGTAGTTCAAACCTCGAGGGAAAAGTTTTGTTGTGAGCCCGCATTTGGGGTCACCGAGCAATTTGAGTGTATGTCACGTATGTGTCCATCGGCAAGTTAACGATAATGACAACATGTTATGTATTGCGAGTGTTCCAGTACTACGGCTATTTCGTTTCGGATTCATTTTTTTCAAACTACCTAAAGCTTCGATTGTCTTCTGTAGGAGGAGCTTCCTTCTGTCCCTGTCCCAAAATTGGATATGATGACGTCGATAACCCCCAATGACCCTAAAATAGACCTGAATCTCAGGATTGCCAGGAGCCCATGCACATTCTCTCCCTGTTCTCTTTTTGGTCAGAGAATCTGACTGAAGGAGCATTGATTGACATGTCATTTGTAGTCTCTGTCCTTAGCCAGCTTCTGCTGCTCTGTCTCCCTAGCAATTGGAAACACTTCTCATTTGCATTCTCCAAATACGGATTTTCCTTTCTCTCTCCCTGTGCATCCTTCCCTCCCTCCTCCCCTCCCTCCTTCCCTCCCTCCCACCCTCCCCCCCTCCCTCCCTCCCTTTGCCCCTCCGCCCCTTCGCCCCTCCGCCCCTCC